TTTCCTTCTCTGAACGTGTGCTTGGGACCTCTGGGTTGCCAGAACACGATCAGAGCTGATGTTAGAGAAACTGTGCACCTGTAGCCACTGCTGTTGTCATTCCCTGACACCGGAGTCTGTTCTGTGGACTGGAGCCTGGAGTCCACTGATGCCTCTGGTTCAGCTCCTCCCTTAGCCTGGAATCTGGATAATGACAGAAACTACTGCTTCAGAAGGAAATCTCATGTCTCCACTAGACTCATCTTGCCATCCACAATATATCAGAAGGTGGCCACTACCTGTACCTCTGCCTTCCCAACTTCTCATGGGGCATCTGTAAGCTTGTATTGGAATCCAGAATGCCAGCTGCAAAAGTATCAGGGAGGGTTGGGAAGGTGGCTCAGTGGTAGAGCGCTTGCCTTGCATGCCTGAGACCCTGGGTTCAATTCCTCAGCACCACATAAGCAAAAAGAAAAAAGCCGGAAGTGGCGCTGTGGCTCAAGTGGTAGAGTGCTAGCCTTGAGCTGAAGTGCTGAGGGACAGCGCCCAGGCCCAGAATTCAGGCCCCAGGACAGGATCCCTCCCCCCCCCCCCCCCCAAATAGTATCAGTGATTCCCCTTTAACTCTTGAGTTCTTTTTAATACAACTTCTGGTTCCATTCAAGGTGTCAAATGTTCAAAGAACTAACCTGCTACAATCCATTCAGTTATTTACGTGCACAGTTCTCATTTTTTTAGAGGAAAGAAAGATTTTTTGATCCATGTATTAGATTTAACATTAGTTAGAATAGATACCCTGTGAACTGCTTAGAAGCTTCTTCAGTAATCACTGGAAATAAGTTTGCATTAAAACAAAGGATAAAAAAAAACCCTGCTTTTTAAAGTAGATTAGAGAAATGTATGGTAAAGTAGGTTTGGACAAAGTTCCCTCCCCTAAATCTCTTTTGATTCAATGAGATAAACTTTGGAAATGGGATCAAGATAGTGGATCCAGCATGGAGCTGGTGCCTGTAATTCTAGCTACTTAGGAGGCTGAGATCTGAGGATCACAGTTTAAAGCTAGCCCAGGCAAGAAAGTCTGTGAGACTCTTTATTTCCAATAAACTACTTAGAAAAAGCTGTGCTATTTCAAGTGTTTCAAGTGCTAGTCTTAAGCACAAAGAGGTTCAGGGACAGAGCCCAGTCCCTGAGTTCAAGCTCCAGGAGCAGGGGGAAACAAAAGACAAATGATTAGTAGAAAAACTGTAATTAGTGGAAACTTCTAGAAACCACTAATTAGTTGATATGTGTGTAGCTGTTGCATAAACTGTAAGAATTTATACTTTATCTTGTCTTGCATTACATAATAAACAAGGAAAGGACTTTGAGAATCGCATTAGCCATTATTTATTGAGCATTCACTCTAGCTGAGGCTGTATGGATACATCACTAACTCTTTACAGCAATCTTGTCCAGTTGCTATTATCTCCATTTTAAATATGAGGGAAGAGATGCCACAAAGTGTAGATGTGTTGCCTGTAGCTACACATCTAATAGGCAGCAGAGCTGAGACTCCTACCTAAAACTGCCCAAGGAAGGAAAAATATCACACCTTTTCAGGGAGAAGATACCCCATGTGCTGTCTATCAAGAAACCCCAAATGATGGCATTTTCTCAGTTATTCCCCATAAGCTCAGGGCTAGATCAGTTGTCTTGCAGCACTCACCATGTCAGTGGTCATACTTTTAAACCAGATTGGATCAGTGTCACTAATGTCTCAAGTACAAACCAGATGGGAATTTGTTAAACGATGAACAGTGTAGCGGCTAACCATTATAGGAGGACTTTTCCATGCCATGTTCTCAAGACAGCCTGATGCACTGCAGGGTTGACTGCAGAGGTAACACTCAGCTCCCAGACCTGGACAGAGTGCTGTTAAATGGCTGCAGCTGCTGCTAGGATGTTTGGCTCACTGGATCCCTGCACCAGCCTGGAGGACGCTTTCTATTTGGCCAGCACTGCCATAATTTGTTCCTCTGACTCTATTTGCTTTTATGGTGGACTGCCATTTTTTTTAATGTATGTATATTAGTAATTTTAGCTAAGTCTTTTTTGCTTAAGATTTAGTCTTTCTCTTTAAGGAGACTGGCTGATTCATTTTTTGCTAACATAATTACTTAATTTGAGGAATATGTTTAATTCCTGTATTTCCAAGTTCACTTTGTGCATTGCCTATAAAATACACTTGGCTCTTTCCTTTACCTGCCATTGGTAGGATAGTAAGAACAAATACAAGAACTGAGGTATTCTATTGGAATTTTATTGTATGTATTTTTATTGTAAAAATACAGTACAGAGGGGGTACAGTTACATGAGTAAGGTAATTAGTACATTTCCTATCGAGCCTTGTTACCTCCTCCTTCGTTTTTCCCCTACCATCCCTTCCCTCCCCACTTCTCCAACTTACTGTCTCCAATATAGTGTCTTTCAATAGAGTCTCAGTGTTACTATGGGTTAACCTGTATCCTTATTTCAGCATTTTGTTATTTCCCTTTCCCTCCCCAAATTAGAAAAATGTATATACAAGATTCCGGGCACCAGAATCAAATACAGTGAAAACAGGGATTATTCCATGGGGGAAAGAACATACAAAAGAAACAGAAAAATCACATGGTACATTATAAATACATTAAAAACCACAGCAAGAAAGATAAAAACCACTTGTGTCTCTATCTTGGTGTTCATTTAGCTTAGCATCATCTTATGTGATCATATGTACATAGCTTTTCAGCTTTTCTGCTTGTCCTAGACATATTCCTAAGCACAAAGGTTTCAGAAGACAGCATTTATAACTAACAGCTCACTGTGGGGTGCTAGCATGTGATGTCATCATAAGAGAGAGCAGGACAGATTTAGTTGCATTAACAATGTCAGGTAGGATGGTTGAGTGCATGAGCAGATGAAAGGCTGAAGGAGTTGATAGTCCTGCTATAAGCCTCAATGTTTTATTTAGGGCAGGGTCCGCATTTGCAGAGACATTGACAGATTGGTGACTGTTCAGAGGAAACTAAGCAGATGGGAATGGGACTTGACAAATGGTAATGGGTGATATTTAGATTAAGAAAGGAGAGACTTGGGGGAAAAGTAAAGCTTAGAGGAATTTAGTGTTAACCCAAGAGCAGGAACTTTTTAATGGATTTAAAATATTATGGTCTGTTGTAATGAGCAGGAAATGCTTCATTTTGAGGTGCCCTGGAGGGCTAGGATTAGGAGTAATCAGTGGAAAGCATGGGGAGACAACATTGCTTGTTCAAGTGACAGACATCTCTGCTCTCAAAGCTGTCCAGTAACACAATGCACTGCCTCAGTACTCATTAATTCTATGGCCATGGAAGCACACAGCAGAAACAGGCCACACATTTGGTGGAGATATTTTGGAGAGAAGTAAAGAATGAATGGGAGCATGGAATTCTAAAACTTTATCCAACTTAAACTGTCTTTAGTTCAATACCAAGATTCATGCCACTGTAAACTCAATAGATCAGTTGCAGGGGGCTCTGGTTTTATATCCTTTCTGCCAACCAAATTTGCAGGGAGGGAAGTTAACATTTAATGAGTGCATTATTCATTGGAATAGCACGAAGAGCCTCTTTCATTTTTTCTTTTAGACCCATATATTACATATGACTAAAAACAGTAGCATATATTTAGATTTCATGGTAAGTTTTTATTCTCAGATGGCTGGAAAACTTCAAATGTTGGTATTAAATGCAGTCTGATTGATGGTTCTGAAATCTCTTCTGATCCTTATTTTGAGACTTGTTACTAGTAATGAGCATGCTTAGCTCATTAGCCAGCATGTTCTTTTCATTTTTTAAAAATGTACTTGGGATTGAACCCAAGGCTTCCTTGTATGCCAGGCAAGTATTCTACCACTGAGCTACATCAAATCATTTTATTTATTTATTATTAATTATTGTTTAATAATTTATGAAATTCTGTCTAGCTAACTTTCCTGGCTTCATACTCATGATCTCTTTCTTCTACATCCTGAGTAGGTGGGGATTGCAGGCATGTACCATTGTACCTGGCTCAGCCTGTGTTTCATGGCAATTAACACCTTAAAAGCCAGTTTCTAAGTGATACTTGTTGAAATCAACTCCAAGAAATGGAAACCAGAGGTTTTTTTTATTTTACTTTTTGTGGGTGTTTTTCTCCTTTTGTCATTGTTTATGACTTCTGTACATTTTAAGCTTGTATGATTTGGAGAGGGGACAGGGAAGCGTAGAAATGGTAGGACAAAGGGTTAACTAATTCAGCAGTGATACTCACTAGATACTCACTAGAACTATACAACTTGTGGGGAAGTGAGGTCAGGAGGGAAAAAACGGAGAAAATGAGGGAAGAGGTGACACTGTTCAAAAAGAAATGTATTCAGTACCTGATTTATGTAACTGTAACTCCACTGTACATCACCTTTACAATACAAATTATTTTAAAAAGTAGTTTCTATGACTGAGGAAAGTATAATACTCATTTAAAATAACTAAAGAAGCTAGGACATGTTATATCTTGAGAAATCTTCAATATTATATGTTAATCAATAAGAAATTCCAGCCCAGAGAGATGAAATGACTTGCCATAGTTGAATGGCCCATGGGGAATTTGAGCTCTTTCTTTTCTTCTTACCTATACTCAGTGACAGAACTCATCTGCTGTAGCATGATGTTTCACTCCTCCATCATCCTTGTCCTCTTCTTCCTCACTTTCCACCTTTAGTTTGTTTTGTATTGTTGCTTCCTTTCTTTCTCTTTCTCTTCCTTTCTTTCTCTTTTCCTCTTCTTCCTCCCCCTCGGCTTCTTCCTTTCCCTCCTTCTTTTCACTGATAATTTGCCGCCTGGTTGACATGTGATCTGAAAAGATGATACTTGAAGAGGATTCCAAAATATTATTATTTTTTTCCAATCAGTACTCTTAGCTAGGCTGATCAGGTTCCAAGTCTCGTTCGTTCTTAATTCTGGGTTGTTCTTGAATCTCTGCAGTGCTGCGTATGATGCTGTCCTTGACAGAAATGTGGCCATTAAGAAGCTCAGCAGACCTTTTCAGAACCAAACTCATGCCAAGAGAGCTTACCGGGAGCTGGTCCTCATGACGTGTGTGAACCACAAAAACGTGAGCTTCCATATTATTTTTAAACCGTTGGCAGTGGGAGGTTGTGAGACTGGGAGAAGAAAAATAGTGCCAACTTGTACTGTTTTTCTTTGCAATTTCTGCTTCTTGCTTATCTTGCCCATATGCTCTATTTGATTTTATTGTCCTCATGGTAGCTTCCTGCTTAGAAATCCTTTAAAAGCCATGTGGCATGGAGATGAATTTGATAGATATGTCCCTATTATCAAATTAATCTTATTTGATTGTCTTGCTCACATTAACCCACAAACAAAGCCACATTGTTTTATCAAACCACAAACAAAAGCAAAAACTGAAAAAAAAACTAAAGTCCTATAGAATGATATACTGTTTATTTGAAAATGAATAATTAGTAGATGAAGATGTTATTTGAAAATGAATAATTAGTAGATGAAGTTGTTTTCTTTGTCATGTTATCACCTTTTGTGTGTGGGCTATCGTATGCCAGCGGCTTGGCTTCTAACTGTTTAAGGTCCACACTGTATGTCAGACATCTTTGTGGTTCCAGGGTTGGGAATGAGGCAAATATATGTTTATAAAACACTTCAGAATGGGACCACTGGGAGCATGTTCCCCAGGGCACTCATGGCTAGATGACAGGTCTTTGTATTCTTTAATCTCATGCAAATTCTCTAGAACTCTCCTTGTGCTTCATTTTTTCTTAGGAAAGAGATATGGGAGATAATTCCCTTGTAATACTTTTCATAACTAAATTGTAACAAGTTTATTGAGCATTTTGTCACACAAATGTATAATAAAAATTATAAAGTATTATAAGTACAATTCAGTTTTTGTAACTCCCTACAAACTCCTTTAAGCTGAAATTGAAATATGAAATACCAAATATGTGAAATGGTATAGTTTCATAAACAAGAGATCCTCTCAGACAAATGAATGTTTCCAGTGGCACCAAGAAAGAAGCAAATAAAAGGTATGAGAGATCAGCTGAAAAATACACAAAATACAAAACCACAGATTCAGGCTCAGAGTCTCTTTTCCTCTATTTTTCTACTCCAATTCAGCCTTTCAATGTATGTTTGTTGAATGAATGAAATATGCCCTGTACAAGTCAAGATGCTTTTGCTGCTAGGGTCATAGCAGGAAGAAAACTAAGAAAAGGCATGGAAACATCCTGTATCCTCCCCCATTCTGCCCCTATTCAGAGCTCTACTTTTCCTGGCCAGAAAGGCAATAAAATAATAGTCAAATGTGTAGAATGTGAAAGGCTGATAAGCAAAGATAAACTTTTTGAAAACTACCAGTCGATATGGGGGTGAGATGTGGCTATTCTTTTCAATAGATGGACCTAGAAAACCCTCACTACAAAGGGAACTTTATCAAATCTGTACTCAATCCTGATATGGTCATGAAGGACTCCTAGGAAAGGTTGTAGAAAGGATAGAGATACACAGTTCTTAAGAGGAGTCACTGTATCAACCTATTCTCTTAGTATGTTAAATAAAAGCAGAAACCAGATTGGCTACAGGACTAGAGCAGAAAAAAACACATTCCATTTTCTTTACTGAAATAATGAGAATAATAAATGATACCCCTTTCCAAATAATTCCTAATGGAAGTAATAATTTTTATAATAGAATACCACCTTCTACCTTCTCTCTCTGTGTGTGTGTGTGTGTATGTGTGTGTGTATGTACACATAATTTTATTTTTCTAATATCAAGGTTTGAACTTAAGGTTTGAACTTGCTTGGCTTTGCTTACTAGGCTGAAGCTCAACCATTTATGTTGTACCTCCAGCCTGGGCTTTTGCTGGATAAAGGATGCTAGAGTCTCATGGATTTCACTTGGATTGGCTTCCAACTGAGATCCTCTAGATCTCGCCTCCTGAGTAGATAGTGCTAAGCCTACAAAGGCACACTGCCTATGTGCATCTGATCATACAAAAAATATTTATCAAAATGAAGTGGAAATGGAAATACACAAAAATAAAAATGTTAACAGAGTAAGTTTACTTCTAGTCAAATACAAATTCTATATAAATACTTGTAAAACTAAGGAAAGGACTGTTAGAATGCCAATCTTTGTTACTGAAGTTCAAAGTTAAGAAAAAAACAATAAAGCAGTCCCATTAAGTATGTAATAATAGATAAGAAAATCCTTTTAGACACGGAAAATTCCAGGAAGTAGTAATGGGTATGAGGGTGGGGGGTGATTAACATTGAATCATATCAGTTTGTGAAGGAATTCCTGCTGGAAACTACTGAACTTAATGATAAAATAGAGATAATATCCAAAGACAAGCCTTTAAATTGGATATTAGTAGGAATTAAAATCTATAAGGGAGCAAAGAAGGAACAGAGTAGATAATCTTAAAAGGGAATAAAAAAAGGTAAATATTTGAAATCAGGAATAGATTTTGGTATATTGTCTTTTAAAGCATAAAGCTTGATTTATTTGGAATTATAATGCTTGACAGATTTAAGTTACCTAGATTATCTACCAGGTGATAGTATATGTGCCTTGTGCTTTTTTTTTATTCACTAGTCTTGAGGCTTGAACTCAGAATCTGGGCACTTTCACTGAGGTCCATTTGTTCAAGGCTAGTGGTCTACCACTTGAGCCAGAGTGCCACTTCTGGCTTTTCCTGAGTAGTTTCTTGGAGATAAGAGTCTCACAGGCTTTCCTGTCTGAGCTGGCTTCAAACCATGAGCCTCAAATCTTAGCCTCCTGAGTAGCAAGGATTTCAGGCATGAGCCACCAGTCCTGGTTTTATAGCCCATTTTTAATCTAAACAAATATGAAAATTGTGTAAATTGAATTAACTTCATGAGATTGATCCGGTGATGCAGAACCAGATCCACTGTGAATCCTGAAATAGAAGATACACCACATAGTATTGAATACTCATCTCAGCTAAATGTACAGACCCACAGGCACTTCAATTACAAAGTAATTAAGTAGCAAAGGACTATTGCTTTTTTTCCTTCTGTTGATAAAGTCCAAATTGGAAAATTGATTTAAAAGATGAAATGTTTTAGGTATACTAGAAACTATTGAGTAGTATTACACATATTTCTCAGTAATTTCTGAACAAATGTAAAATCATCTTTCCCCCGAAAGCAGTCACTCTGCTTTTAGTCACTTCAGGTGTTCAAGTGTCACTTATGAACTCTACTAAGATTCACTGCTTCACACAATGAAGCTGTTTAGATTTTTAACTTGTACTTTGCCAACTTTTGCAAACTAGGTTTCTATAGACATGTTATAAGTAGATTGCTTTTAATGTCAATTCTGGGGCTTGAACTCAGGTCTCGGTGTTGTCCCTTAGATTTTTTTTTTGTTTGTTTTGCTTAAGGGTGGAGTTACACCTCTACTTCCATTCTTTTGTGGTTAGTTGGAGATAAGAATCTCACACAACACCAAACAATATCAAACAACATATTACCTCCTGAGTAGCTAGGATTACAGCCATCCACAGGCTACTGGCTTTATGTCTTTTTATTTTCATTGTCTACTGGCTCATCAATATATAATATTTAAATGGAAGAACAGTTTGAGTTATTTATGTATACAATTTATGTGGAACTGTGATAAAGGCTTTTTTTAAAATGTATTCTCAAAGACAAACTTCTTTATTACCAAATACACATAATAAATAAAGCAGGAAACATAAAGGTTAGAACTAAATTTAGGTATCTTTAAAATACATTTTCCATTAAATCCATTATTGATATTATTCACAATTCACCTCCCTCCTCCCCTACATACCACTGGAGTATTAATGTAAGCAATATTTGAATGTCAGATACAAGTGAAGGAAACTATAGTAGCAGTATCAATAATAACAATAACCTTGCATTTGGAGAAATACCATTTTGCTAAATCTGATCCAATGTTTAATTTTTCCTCCCATGCCAGGCCCAGTTCTGTGTCTTTCTATACAGACCCACACTAAAACAGAATAACAATTATGTCTCTGATTTCCTTCTACCTAAGAGTTTGAGGGGTTTGTTTTGTAACCTGAAGACAGATCTGTGTACTTTCTGAACACTCGGTTTTAGGTTCAGTGAGGCATTCTAGAAAACGTCTTAGCATTTCTGTTTTCCACCATTGCTCTAGCAAGCACCTGTCAGTTAGAATAAATGCATTTGTACTTTAAAAATAACTCTCTTTTCTCTTTCCTTTGTCTTTTCCATGCTATTTCTTCCAGATTATTAGCTTATTAAATGTCTTCACACCCCAGAAAACACTGGAGGAGTTCCAAGATGTGTAAGTAACAACAAAACAAAATTCATGTTGGAAGGTCTCACTGGAATAGCTCAAAGGGAAACAACAAAAAGAAAAATCCCTTGTGGAGATCCAGGGAAGAAAGAGGTAGAGCTAGTGCCAGATCAGTGACAGGAAAGCAAGTTCTGTGGTGGGATCACTTCCTGCCTCCTCCTGGCCTTATGATGCAGTGTACTTCATTGTTCTATGCTCTTGGCTCAATCAGGGAATGCTTGTTACTTATTTATTATTAATTGACTTGGTGAGCTTTCTAAGGGGAGTCTGTTCACTTGGCGGAATATTAAAGGGATATGATAAACATCTTTATTCTTCATGCCCATTTTTTTTGTGGTGCTTTTGATTTTGTACAAAAAGAATCTGCCTAGATTTCTATGTTTCTTTGTATGTCCCTCCCCCACGGTATAACCCCTGCTTTCACTGTATTTGATGTTGGTATAATTTGTGGAGGGGAAGGGAAAAAAAACAAATTGTTTAAATAGGGATACAGGTGGACCCATTGCAACAAGGAGATGTACAAGATGTTATGTCGAAAAATTAACTTTACAACTTTGGTGGGGGTAGGAGGATCGGGTGGGGGGAGGTGGAGGGAGTATGGAAGGGATGGGAAGGGGAAACAAAGAGGAAGCAACAATGCTTGATAAGAAATGTACTCGTTATCTTGCCCATGTAATTGTAACTCCTCTGTACGGTATTTTTACAATTAAAACAAAACAAAACAAAACATAAAGACAATAAGAAGAGGAGAGGAAGTGATTTCCCAGCATAGTGCCTGTTTGAACACACTGTTTCATTTTGTGGAAGTAGCTGTCCTGAAGGCTTATCTTTTTATAATCTTAATACTCAGGAAGGAGGTAAGAGAAGACAGGGAAAATACAACCCAAGATGATGGTGGAAAGTATATGGATATGAACTACACACTAATAAATGGTGCCTACAGGAAAACTCTAGTGGTAGAGTTGCTACAAGGTAGCACATATACCATGCTTGGAAGTTTTTTCTACTCTTGATTCCATCAAAGGCAGAACTAGGAAGTGTAGAAAGCGTACATCTATATAGAAAGGTGTTCTTTCTTGATCAAAAGATTTCGTAGATTTTGTGCACTGGAACTAATGTTGTGGATTTACCTTCTAGTTACCTAGTAATGGAACTGATGGATGCCAACTTGTGTCAAGTGATTCAGATGGAATTAGACCATGAGCGAATGTCTTATCTACTATACCAAATGCTGTGTGGCATCAAGCATCTCCACTCTGCTGGAATTATTCATAGGGTAAGAACACTGAATTACAAGTCAAACTCTGTGGGAGAAGAAATTGAAGAACTTTAGATCATTTCTTTTATGCATGAAGACATGGTCAAGCACAACATAATTCCTCATTCCTTTGACAATAGAATTAGCACCCATTTGACTAATATGCCCTAGCTATTCTGTGATTGACTATGTGTGGCATTATGTTTCAGCCCCTTGAGAGTCAGCTTCTAAGAAGCCCATGTTTTCTAGCAACTTGATGGGCAGCAGCTCTGCTGGAATAAGATAGTTCATACCCACTGTTGATTTCTGACAGCATGACCTGATTCTTTGTTAGGTCTAGAAAGGAAATAGATATAAAAGATTTTATTCTCTAAGGAGAAACCCAGGAAATGACAATAAGTGATATGTCCTTTTTGTCTAAATTATTTTTGGTGAGATGAGTCTAAATTGTAACAATGATAATGCTGTTTTCCTTTGGATTTAAAGACTTTACTGAAGATTTTTTGTGGTTGTTATTGTTGTTGGTGGTGGTCATGGAGCTTCAACTCAAGCCCGGGATGCTGTTCCTAATGCTGAAGGCTAACACTCTACCTCTTTGAGCCATAGCCCCACTTCTGGTTTTCTGTTGATTAATTGGAGATAAGAGTCTTACAGGCTTTTACTCTGTGGGCTGGCTTTGAACCTCAATCCTCCCATCTCAGCCTCCTGAGTAACTAGGATTGCATGCATGCACCACTAGTGCCCAGCTGAAGATATTTTTAACCTGAAACTAATTTTAATTTTTTTGTAGCAGTTATTATCTTCAAAACTGTCCTGTTGATTGAGTAGAGGAAGCCTATGAGTGCCATTGGAGACTGGCTTTGAATTTTTTCCTTTGTTGCTGTTGTCAGGATTTAAAGCCAAGTAACATTGTAGTCAAGTCTGATTGCACATTGAAAATCCTCGACTTTGGGCTGGCCAGGACCGCGGGCACCAGCTTCATGATGACTCCGTATGTGGTGACGCGTTATTACAGAGCCCCTGAGGTCATTCTGGGAATGGGCTACAAGGAGAACGGTAGGGATGCTTCTGAGTTTCCGACGCAGATGGATGCATGCTTTCCATAGCCAGGAGTAATGCTACCTTTCGTACATACAGACTTGTCAAAAATAGAGCTGCCAGCTTTCAGTTTGGCTTTTAAAATTACTGCTTAGAAGAATCACTCATTAAAAATGTGAAAGTTGCTTCTAAGAAGTAAGCCTTGCTAGCTAAAATGTTATAAATGGCATGTGGGTAAACATCCAAGTGCATACTGATAAGCATACACGCTATAGAGATTGAGAATAATTGATTGGAGTTGCAGTTCAGCTCAGTGAGTTTGAAAATAAGAAAAATTCCATTTTAACCATTTGGTGTTTTCATAATATCTTAGAAGGATGGCTAGAGCTATTAAAAAAGACTAGCAGGAAGATCACATACTTTTGAAGTAAAGTTCTCCATGAGCACTAATGGAATACAGAAGAACCTTCCAAATTATTTAATTGCTTAAGCAGGATAAGAATTTCCTAAGGTGTTTTATAAATAATATCTGTGGTAGCAAATAATTTTTAATCCAGAAATTATAGAAAGGAAAAAGTATTAGATCTTACATTGCCAGTTTCATAAAAAAAAATCTAGTAGACAGGAACACTTTAATGGAATAGAAAGAATCTTCAAAATGTTCAAACTTGACTTTAGTTACTCCAAACAGAGGATTTATAAAATATCTGTTAGGAAGCACCGAAATATATTATTTTATCCAGAAAATCTTTTGTAAGTAATGTATCATAATAAAAATGCATCTTAGAGCTTAAAGATAGTTTTGTTAGAGTTGTATATCTATACTTAACGTGCCTTTCATACCAGTTTTTCTATTCTATTTAGTTTGTAGCATATAGAATTTTATAGGATTTTTTCTAAATTCCTATAGAATATTTTTCATTATCTATTTATGTATACGTGCTACAAGGTAATTTTATGAAAATTCCTTTCTCACTGAAGTTAAAAAAATTATGTGTCTACTTTCAGAGTAGACACCAATATTTGTATGCAGTTCATAGAGGACAGGAAGGTCAGCTCACCTTGGGGCAAGTGTCATAATTCTAGCACCTTTTGACTTGAAAGAAACTCTTGCATATGTTATATACAAGTTATCTTATAAGAAGAAAAGGAGAATCCATGAGAGAAAAGCCATGGAGCAAGGGGTGCTATTATCAACAATTTATTTCATAATGTAGAGAATAGAGAATTTTGAATGTTCCCTGTCAAGGTGATGAATAAACTAATTGCCCTAATTTGATCATTATTTTATGCACACATGTATTTAATGTACCCTATGAATGAATCCAAGGACTATGTATCAACAGAAGAAAAGGATATACAAGAGGGTAGGGATCTGAATTTACCTATTCTGGCTTTTCAGATCTTTGCCTCAGAGACAGTAGGTATTCAACCTCCCTTACCTTGCTTGACTAGGAAGGGTAGCAAGTAGGTCATTGGCTTCTCTAGGTGCATGGAGAAGGGGAGCCCAGTACCCCTGGCTGTCCTCCCTCTGAGCAGAGGAAGGTTATCATGCAGAAGAACCTGCTTGCTCCTGCATCAGGCATGCCCGCCTTCCCTGTGCACCTCATCCTGCATTCCTTCCCACGAAGTAACTCAGCCTCATGTTTGTGCCCCAATATTCTTTTGTCTTTAATAAAAGGAGAGATGGAAGATGGTCAGTACCGTTAAGATAAGGTGAATCATGTTTGGTTAACAAGCATGACAACTGGCAAAGACATACATAGTTAATATGTTTTAAAATTTATAATATCTTTTTTCACTATCTGTCAATTACTTCTAAAAATCATGTACTAAAATCATCATTTATTATTTCTCCCAAAATTATTTCAAATGGATATAAAGACTGATGTTTATTTTGAAGGGAAATTTCTGAAGGAAAATGAGGTCTCAATTTCTAGGGATTCTAGTTCTTTTTCCTGCAAAGAAAGTATGGCATTAACCATTTCAAGTTTTTTTTTGGGGGGGGGGTCAAATATTTACTTATTTTGAATAACAAAAAGATGCTATTGCCTTCTTTTCTATTCTCCATAGCTGGATGGAACAGAAAATAGAGCAACCACTTCTGCAGGTTGATTCAGATTTTTTTCCCCTGTGTTCAACAAACAGTATCAAACCCTTTTTTGTGGCTTTTGGCCATTGCCTATGGTGGCTTAATGACTGCTTTTCCATCTCAGCTATGTCAACAGTGTGTAAAGAGGCAGCCTTAGGCATCTATAAAGTAATGCTTTTTAAAAAAAAATATTCATTTGAATTCCCATACTAGACAAAGTGTTAAGAGTATAGTGCTGGTTTTAATTCACTTTTTGGCCAATGTTTTCTGGGAGTTGAAAGTTGTACCTACTAATCAAGCTGATATTTTTCCTCCTCCTTCAGAAGTCAGTCCTTTTAGTTAACTTTGCTCTCCTTCTTTCCTCCATTTTCTGTCTCTCCTGTTCTAGTGGATATATGGTCTGTGGGATGCATTATGGGAGAAATGGTTCGCCACAAAATCCTCTTTCCAGGAAGGGACTGTATCCTTATACCTTTGCCTGCAGCTTTACCTATTTTGTTTCTGTGCCCTTAAAACATGTAATGATTTTGCCAGGAGATGAAAGATAGAAGCAAAAAGTTGGTAAGTGCTGTAATGGTAATAAAAACCCCTATAATTCCTGTAATATTGCCAGTACTGCAGACTACCTACCACCATGATTGCTCTTAATTAAAATTTCAATAGGGTTTTTCTTCCTTAATTACTTTCTTGCCTGTAAGTCAAAACAGCAATACCAGAGACCCCTCTGACCCGATGAATAAAATATAGCTTTGTAATTAGCAAAATAAGTCACTATTCGCAAGTCATTTGTCAACTCCAGTCTAAGACTATTCAATGCTTCCAAGCATGTAGACTGTGTGGATTTTCTCCTTGCTGGCAACTAAACTTCTGTCTATGGCTTCATTGATTTGAATTACTCTTGACACTTAGCCTTAACTAGGTCGAGGCAGCATATCTTCCTAAAACATGAATCTCCACACTATAAAAAAATCATAATTATTATTCAAATTGCCACAGGTCAGGTGAGTTTAAAATAGGCTTTGCTCATTTGACTTCAAGATGTGATAGGTAAGTAGTAATTGCTTTCCCAGCCAAGGTTAGAATTTTACAAAACAGTGTAAACTTGAGTTCTACCTTTCGGTAGATCCCATTAGAAATATCTTAATGGTATGTATGAGTTGGAATTACAAACTAAGTAGCTATATTTTGGAAATGGTGAAAAATGCCTTGTCTAATAAAGTATACTTTTGGGTTTATACTATATAGATAATAGAGTTTACATATGAACAGAAGATTGAACTTCTATAAATACAGGAAAACTCAAACTAGTGAACATGCACACAAATCTAATAACAATTTGAACAATAATAGTGCAGGATAAATTCAATATTACAACTACATATGAATTGGTTTTGAAATTGGCAATAAGAAATTGTTTCACAACTCTATTAGCCCTTTCATTTGAATATGGAAATTCTATAAGGCAACTTTTTATTTATGTTGTTCATTTATATTTTTGGTGGTACTCAGGGCCTCACATTTATTAGGCAGGCTCTCTTCCACTTGAGCCTCCTCCCTCACTTCTGCCCCTTTTTGTCTGCTTTTGTTATTTTTCAGAGAGGATCTTACGCTTCTTGCCTGTGGTTGGCCTAGGACTGTGATCCCTCTGCTCATTCTTCCTGCATAGCTGGGTTACTGACACATACCAGCATGTCCCACTTGTGGATTCTTCCTGACTGTATTGTCTGAACTGAACCACAATCTTCCCAATTTCACCTGAGTAGCTAAAGGTCACTAAGCAGCCTTTTTATTGTGCAAGGAATATTATGACTATCATTTTAGTAGATAAAAACACGACTTAAGAAGTTGATGTGAATATGAAATTGCGTTTAATACAGGCACTGGTAGCTCACACCTGTAATCTTAGTTACTCAGGAGGCTGAGATCTAAGGATTGTATTTGAAACCTTCCCTGGCAGGAAAAAACTGTCAGTCTCTTATTTCTATTTCTTATAGCCTAAAGCTATAAGGGGAGCCTTGGCTCAAGTGGTAGAGGTAGCCTTGAGCACAAAAGCTTAGAAACAGTGCCAGGCCCCTAGTTGGAGCCTCAGGACCATAACAAAAAAAGGAAAGAAAGAAAGAAAACAGAAAAAGAAAGAAAGAAAACAGAAAAAGAAAGAAAGAAATAATAAAAGAGAAAGAAAGACAAAAAGGAAAGAAAGAAAAAAGAAAGAAAGAAAGAAATAATAAAAGAGAAAGAAAGACAAAAAAGGAAAGAAATAAAGAAAAAAGAAAGAAAGTGAGAGAGAGAGGGGGAAGGAAGAAAGGAAAGAAGGAAGGGAGAGAGAGAAAGAGAAAGAAGAGAAGAAGGAAGGCAGAAAGAAAGCAGGGAAAGAAAAAAAGAAAAAATGAATTTAAATAGGCATTTTTTTTATTCTGGTGGACATTGAGATATTCTCTAAATTCCATTGGTATTTATAATAGTAACCTTCAGCTCTTCACTGTCCAATAAAGGAACACTAGTCACATGTTCGACACTTAAATTTGAGAATGAATTGTTGGACGTTTAATGTATCAAAGTGCATTCTGATTTTTGAAGACATAAAAACACATTGTAAACGTTATTATGAATTTTATACTAATTGCCTGTTAAAATAATATTTTTAAAAGACCTTGGACTAAAAACATATACTACTAAAGTCAGTTTTACCTATTTCTTGAATATGAATATTAGTCAAGTTAACTTTTCAAATCAGCTTGTGTTGGGGGTGGAGGGAAGGGTTACTATCTTTAAGTGGTTGTACAAAGGAGTTACCATTTAGGGGCTGGGGATTTAGCCCAGCCCGGTGTGCACAAGGCCCTGGGTTCAGTCCTCAGTCCTGAAAAAAAAAAAGGAGTTACCATTTAACAAAGAAGTTTATGAATAGATCTTGATCAGTGCCACCCCTCTCAGCATTCACCAGTTCACCCAGTTCACCCCTACCCAAACCTTCCCTCACTCTTCTTAATTTTGCAGGATATACATTGGAGTTTTGCATTCTTCTCTTCTCTTCATTTATCCACCCTTTTCCCTTGACCCCACCCCACCAGTTAAATAATATAATTCCTTAGGAAGGCAAAGCCAAAATTTAGTTAAAAAAACACAGCTAGTTTTTATGGCTTCAAGTTTTTCTTTGGATAGTGCTGGTCTAGAACAGCCAGTCTTTCATCCATCATCAGTCTTCAAGTCTGAAATCATCATTCACTTCATGATACTTATCTATAGTTGAAGTATCATTTTCACTATCAAATTTCATGTGTTAACTTGGGAAAATACCTTTTAAGTGAGCCATTCATAATGCAGAGATGAATTACTGGTAGGGTTGATTTGAATGATATTATAACTCACACTCAGATTTAAATGAACTGAACTCATTCAAAAGCAGGAATTATTTTCTCTGTGCTTTTGCCTTTGGAGTCATGCATTTCAAACAAACAAAGGAGGCCAGCCAATCAGTACCCATTGTCATGAGGCACAACCGCATGTCTGCAGTCTGCTTGCTAAGGGGAGAGGGTGGCTGCTGCTAATGGTCATCTTGTGTCCACACAACAATGATGATCTCTGATAGTTCATTTAGTTGTCTAGGCATTTATTAGGGCTGTTTTTTATTCTGATAGCCAATTTTTTTAAAAAACTAAAATTAGCGAAAAACTAAAACATTTTATTTTATCATCGAGAATACTTCGCTCTTCCAAATTTTTTTTCAGGTTTTTTTTTCTTTCCTTTTATTGTAGTTTGCTTTAGAAAGTATTTGGAACTGAAATGAAAACATGCAAAGATCAATCTATAAATTTTTTATCATTGGTAGATGTGCTCCTAGAATCAATCTCCAATATAACAAGAAAAACAAAGTGTGAAATTTTGCATTTTGAATTCTGTTGTTTCAGGAGATAGTTATACAGAATGATAGTCTTTCATGCTGAGAGCAACATCTGTTAACAAGCCAGAGGACCTACAAGTGAAAGGGAGATTACAAAAAGACATTGTCAGTGGAAAACTTTTGTAGCTCATTTAAGTTTTGTTTGCATATGGGAAAATAATTTCCAATGAAATGAGTTACAGAAAATTCTGTCTTAGAATATTTCCCTTTGGATTCAGGTTCTTAGTGCATATTTTCTGTAATTAGAATTATAATGTAGATTTTAAGTCATGATGACATTTGAAAAATAAAGCCATTGAAATCCTTATTAATAAAGGGATGTGCTTTGTGGATTTTGAGCAGAATTGTTTCATTAATCTTTAAATAAAATTATTATCATTTCATGAGTAGAGCTTGCTATCAACAGTAGAGAGATCAGACAATTGAGCTTACTTCATAACCTATAGCACTCAAACACAAGAAGTGTTATTAATAGGGAGAAGACACATGCTAATATTTTAGCATATTCTATTCTCATTTACTAGGAGTAAAACCAAAGTTTTATATGTTAACTGATGCCTAGATTACATCAAATATTCAACAGATTTGTTAGAAGCACAAGATTTTTATTTGCATTTTGCATTATTGAGTTAGTTAATAATTATTTAACATTGACAGTAATAATAAATTATTCTGAGACTACAAAATATTGTGATAATATTTTGTCATTATAATCATTACTCCTCAGTCCACTTTACAATTTGAACCCTAAGTAAAAATACTACACTATCTTTACAAAACAAGAAATAGTATGAGATTGTCTTTGATGAATGAAGCTTTTACTTAACACTCAATTCTGAGAAGCATGGTGGGAATTTCCTGGTGATTGATGATCCAGATGACAGCATTGAGTGATTTATTGATTAGTAAGTCAAAGTGTTTACTAAATAAATTCTTTTTTGTGTGCTGGTCTTGTGGCTTGAACTCAGGGCTTAAGTACTGTACCTGAGATTTTTTATTTTCTCAAAGCTAGCATTCTACCATTTGAGCCACAGCTCCACTTCTGACTTTTTGGTGGTTAACTGGAGATAAGAGTCTCACAGATTTTCGAATAAAAGCTAAACATAGGGCAATGTAAATAATATGACATGGTACTTACCACCATTTATAGTTTCTCTTTCTTTGGTTTCAGTTACTTATGATCAGCTGAAATCAAAAATTATTAAATGGAAATTTCTAGAAAAAAAAAAAGAGTCTCACAGATTTTCCTGCCCAGGCTGGCTTCATTTTGCAACCTTCAGATCTTGTCCTCCTGATTAAGATTATAGACATGAACCACTGTTGTCTGGCAAGAAATTTTAAATATTTCATTTTCATCCATTAGTTTGCTAATGATTTTAATATTCAAAATAATGCTTTTATTTATTTTTATTGAATAAAGAGTTTTAAAATAATGCACATACTCTTACATGTTAAATTATCACAATAGCTTTATGATAATACATATTTCCTGGTGTCTTTGTTGTCATAGCATATTATATATGTAGTCTTCCTAAAAGTTCTTCAACCAGTGAAGTATGTCA